CTAAACTGGGAGGAGTGGTAGATACGCTGGAGGGGAGGGATAGGATACAGAAAGACCTGGACAAATTGGAGGATTGGGCCAAAAGAAATCTGATGAGGTTCAATAAGGATAAGTGCAGGGTCCTGCACTTAGGACGGAAGAACCCAATGCACAGCTACAGACTAGGGACCAAATGGCTAGGCAGCAGTTCTGCGGAAAAGGACCTAGGGGTGACAGTGGACGAGAAGCTGGATATGAGTCAGCAGTGTGCCCTTGTTGCCAAGAAGGCCAATGGCATTTTGGGATGTATAAGTAGGGGCATAGCCAGCAGATCGAGGGACGTGATCGTTCCCCTCTATTCGACATTGGTGAGGCCTCATCTGGAGTACTGTGTCCAGTTTTGGGCCCCACATTTCAAGAAGGATGTGGATAAATTGGAGAGAGTCCAGCGAAGGGCAACAAAAATGATTAGGGGACTGGAACACATGAGTTATGAGGAGAGGCTGAGGGAGCTGGGATTGTTTAGCCTGCAGAAGAGAAGAATGAGGGGGGATTTGATAGCTGCTTTCAACTACCTGAAAGGGGGTTCCAAAGAGGATGGCTCTAGACTGTTCTCAATGGTAGCAGATGACAGAACGAGGAGTAATGGTCTCAAGTTGCAGTGGGGGAGGTTTAGATTGGATATTAGGAAAAACTTTTTCACTAAGAGGGTGGTGAAACACTGGAATGCGTTACCTAGGGAGGTGGTAGAATCTCCTTCCTTAGAGGTTTTTAAGGTCAGGCTTGACAAAGCCCTGGCTGGGATGATTTAACTGGGATTTGGTCCTGCTTCGAGCAGGGGGTTGGACTAGATGACCTTCTGGGGTCCCTTCCAACCCTTATATTCTATGATTCTATGATTCTAAAAGCTACCCTCAAGGTCATCCAGGCCTACGCTCCCACAAGTGCAAGTGAGGATGAAGAAGTGGAAGAATTCCACCGAGAACTCGAAAGAGCCCTCGTGCAAAAGTCCACTTACACGGTCACGATGGGAGATTTCAACGCCAAGGTTGGGTGAGGGAAAGCTGGCGAAAAGTTCATAGGAAGATACGGCAGTGGCAAAAGGAATGAAAGAGGAGAAAGGTTCGTAGCAATGGCAGAAATGAAAGAACTGTACATAGCAAACACCTGGTACAAAAAGACAGCTGCAAGGAGGTGGACGTGGATCGCGCTAAATGCAAAAAGCAAGAACAAAATCAACTACATTTTAGTCAATAAAAGGCATATCGTCCAAGACGTCTCTGTGGTGCTGCCTTTCAACACCGGCAGTGACCATTGCCTGCTTAGAGCGAAGTTGATTTCTGACAAAGCGGTGGAAAAGAAGGCGCTACAGATGACAAACTGGAAACAGCGGCCAAAGACCTTTGATGAAGCAAAACTGAAGAAATCGATTTGTGGGTTTGACTGGAGCCAGACGAAAATATGTGATGAGGACTATAGTATCTTTGCCAACAAGCTGAGACGTTGCATAAAAGCAGCTGAAATTGAAAAGCCAAAGGAGGCAAAGGGAAGATTCTTGAACGAAACAAAAAGCTTGTTGGAAAAGCAGAGAAACATGAAAAGGAGCTCAGATAACAACCTCGAGTATTCCATTCTGTGCAAGCTTATACAGCAAAAACTGAAGGATGACTGAGAACTTCCAGAAAGAAAAGCTCCTCAAAACAGCTGAATCACGCAAGAGCCTCAGGACATGCAAGCAGGAATTGACGCAGTATAGATTGAGTGTAACAGCGTTGAAGAATGAGGATGGAGAGATAGTAATTGACAGAGCAGAGATGGAGGAGGTCTGCAGGGACTTCCATACAGAACTGTTCAAATCAAGAATCAAATGTCCTTCTCCCAACGCTCCAAGAGTCAGAAGAACGCGCCAACCGCCCCCCCCCCCAATAACTGTCAGTGAAGTCTGAAGCGCACTACATCAGATGAAGAAGGGAAAAGCTCCAGGCAAAGATGGAATAACATCAAAAATTATTTCTGCAGGAGGCAAAGAACTTTGGAAGGCCCTCGCTTTAAGATTCAGTCGATATCTTGAAGAACGAAGAATACCATCAAGCTGGAAGGAGTCGAATACCATCTTACTGCACAAGAAAGGCGATTGAGAAAAATCTTAAAAAACTACCGCCCTATATGCCTGGTCTCTCACATCTACAAGCTCTTTACAAAGGTGATAACGAACCGACTCTCACAGAGTCTGGATGAACAACAGCCGAGAGAGCATACAGGATTCCAAAGAAATTTCAGCACCATTGACCATATATTTACCTTTAGCCAGCTCCTAGAAAGAGCAAGGGAATACAAGCTCCTGCTGTGCATGGTTTTCATTGACTATGAAAAAACCTTTGACAGCGTAGAGTTTGAACCAATATTAAAGGTGCTCACAGAGCAGGGCATTAACACACACTACATCAGTTTGTTGAAGGAAGCGAATACCGGATACACAACAGACTACTCTCCTCAAAACTCCCCTCCACATCCCAATCGAGAAAGGTGTGAAGCAAGGAGATAAAATTACACCGAAACTATTCACTGCCTGCCTCTAAATGGTTATGAACAAGATCAATTGGAGGAGTGGTGTCAACATAAATGGAGAACGATTATCTCATCTCAGATTCGCAGACGACATCGTGCTAATTGCCAAAAGCACTAACCAACTGCAGAGCATACTACGAAGACTCAACAAGAAAAGCAGTCAGGTCGGCCTGAAAATGAACCGCTGTAAAACGAAATATATGCTATCAGACGTCTTACAAAAAGCCCGAACAACAGTAGCAGGAGAAAAAAATCGAAAAAGTGAAACAGTACATATATTTGGGCCAAGAAGTCAATATGCGCCAAGACCTGAATGGAGAACTCTCGCGAAGGATTTGGGAAGGATGGTGTGCGTTCAATTCCATCAAGGACATCCTCAAGGGAAAAACCGACAAGACCACACGCGCAAATATCTTTAATTCAACAGTGCTGCCAGTCATGTTGTACGGCAGTGAAACGTGAGCACTGATGAAGAGAGAAGAGCAGCGGCTGTTGGTAGTTGAAAGGGCAATGGAATGAGCTATGTTGGGAATCTCCCTTCTGGATCACATCCCAAATGAAATGATCAGAGAACGCAGCGGTGTGAAAGATACCATCATGGAAAGCAGACCTAATAAGATGCAATGGGTGGGCCACACAGCATGGCTCAAGGACAATAGGTGGACCGCAATCATAGCTGAGTGGTACCCACGAGAACAGAAAAGACCACCTGGCTGGCCTCCAAGAAGATGGGAAGATGACATTGTTAAACGCGAGAAGAATGGCAGCTGTGTTGTGATCGGCGCAGTCTTAACGACAGCTGAAAACTGTTGGATGTTTTCTACATTTTCAAATAGATTGATTTCAATTACGAACACAGAATACAAAATGTACAGTGCTCACTTTATATTTATTTTTATTACAAATATTTGCACTGTAAAAATAACAAAATAAATAGTATATTTCAATTAATCTAATACAAGTTCTGTAGTGCAATCTCTTTATCATGAAAGTTGAACTTACAAATGTAGAATTATGTACAAAAAATAATTGAATTCAAAAATAAAACAAACAATGTGAAACTTTAGAACCTACAAGTCCACTCAGTCCTACTTCAGCCAATCGCTCAGACAAACAAGTTTGGTTACAATTTGCAGGAGATAATGCTGCCCACGTCTTGTTTACAATGTCACCTGAAAGCGAGAACAGGCATTCACATGGCACTGTTGTAGCCGGCATCGCAAGATATTTACGTGCCAGATGCGCTAAAGATTCATATGTCCCTTCATGCTTCAACCACCACCAGAATATATGCGTCCATGCTGATGACGGGTTCTGCTTAATAACGATCCAAAGCAGAGCAGACCGATGCATGTTCATTTTCATCATCTGAGTCAGATGCCACCAGCAAAAGAAGGTTGATTTTCTTTTTTGGTGGTTCAGGTTCTGTAGTTTCGGCATTGGAGTGTTGCTCTTTTAAGACATCTGAAAGCATTCTCTACACCTTGTCTGTCTCAGATTTTGGAAGGTTCTTAAAGTCTGTCTCAGACTTCAGGTTCTTAAACCTTGGGTCAAGTGCAGCTATCTTTAGAAATCTCACATTGGTACCTTCTTTGCGTGTTGCCAAATCTGCTGTGAAAGTGTTCTTAAAACGAACATGTGCTGGGTCACCATCCGAGACTGTTATAACATGAAATATATGGCCGAATGCGGGTAAAACAGAACATGAGACATAAAATTCTCCCCCAAGGAATTCAGTCACAAATTTAATTAACGCATTATTTTTTTAATGAGCACCATCAGCATGGAAGCATGTTCTCTGGCATGGTGGTCAAAGCATGAAGGGGCATATGAATGTTTAGCATATCTGGCACATAAATACCTTGCAATGCCGGCTACAAAAGTGCCTGTTCTCACTTTCAGATGACATTGTAAATAAGAAGCAGTCAGAAGCATCTCCCATAAATTAAACAAACTTGTTTTTCTTAGCAATTGGCTGAACAGGAAGTAGGACTGAGTGGACTTGTAAGCTCTAAAGTTTTACATTGGTTTGGTTTTGAGTGCAGTTATGTAAAAAACAAACAAACATACATCTACATTTGTAAGTTACACTTTCATGATAAAGAGTTGGCACTACAGTATGTGCATGAAGTGAATTGAAAAATACAGTTTCTTTTATCATTTTTACAGTGCAAATATTTGTAATAAAAATAATACAAAGTGAGCACTATACACTTTGTATTCTGTGTTGTAATAGAAATCAATATATTTGAAAAAGTAGAAAAACATCCAAAAATATTTAATACATTTCGATTGGGGTTCTATTGTTTAACAGTGCGATTCAGTGATTAATTTTTTTAAATGCAGCTAATTTTTTGAGTTAGTTGTATGAGTTAACTGTGATTAATCGACAGCCCTAGTAACAATTCATACTTTCTGATCTTCATTTTTACACAGAAGAAGCCCATAATCACCTTTTTTTCTCCACATCTAGTTCCATCTGCGGCAGCATCCAGTTTTGAGCGGCAGGATCCTTTCACTGAGCACCACAGTGTCTGGCAAATATTCTGTAAGAAAGAGAACAAACTGCAGCTACTTTCAGAAGATCTGAACTCCCAGGCCACGATTTTCAAAAGTCATTAATGATTTTGGGATATCTCAATTTGAGATAGTTTAAGGGGCTTGACTTTCAGAGGTCAGGATGCTTAGAACTTTTTGAAAGCGAGGCCCCTTTAAAGTTCTCTCAAAATCAGATACTCCAGATCTCTAGTCACTGTTTAAAATTTTAGCCACAGAACAACTTTAAATTTACTCCTCATTAGTGTGTTGTCATAGATCTGTGCACAAATACAAAACTGTGAACATATTGTATCCAGCTGACTGAATTCAAGTTCTCTTGAGAATTTAAAAGTTCTCCCGATTGTCTGAACTGACATACCTCCCAAGCACCCACTGTTAATTGGAAAAATTTCTTTACGAAGTTTGGGGCACATTGTCCATGCAGAAGCAGCCTCAAGAGGGGAAAACATACCATGGCCCCTGACTGCGTTTTCTCTTCATTAATCATGCTATTGGAAGTGTGGTTGACTTCTCCTTACAAGTGTCTCACCTTATTGACAGAATATTATTGCTGCAGTACCTGCAGGCCAAATCCCCAAATCTTCACTCAGTCTTAATCAGACAAGCACCTATACATTTCAGTGGGCATTCATCTATAAAAAGACACTTTAAAAATAAATTAGGACCTCAGGATTGGCTGGTAATTCTGCTTTTGGAATTACGTTTCTTTGCACTATACATTTTTCATCGTTGCCTAATGTCTGTAATTTAGATTTAATCCTATGCACCTTAATTTTCATCCCTTTTTGGATTTGGTATATTGTAGGTTTTTTCTTCCTATTGTACATTGAGCAATTTACAGTGTGTGTGTGTGTGTTTACAAAGTATAAATAGGTTTCAAAGTAGCAGCCATGTTAATCTGTATCCAAAAAAAGAAAAGGAGTACTTGTGGCACCTTAGAGACTAAGGAATTTGAGCATAAGCTTTTTGTTCACCTGCACATCTAACAATGTGATATATGCCATCACGTGCCAGCAATGCCCCTCTGCCATGTACATTGGCCAAACCGGACAGACTCTACGTAAAAGAATAAATGGACACAAATCAGATGTCAAGAATTATAACATTCAAAAACCAGTCGGAAAACACATCAATCTCTCTGGTCACTCGATTACAGACCTAAAAGTGGCAATTCTTCAACAAAAAAACTTCGAAAACAGACTCCAATGAGAGACTGCTGAATTGGAATTAATTTGCAAACTGGACACCATTATGTTAGGCTTGAATAAAGACCGGGAGTGGATGTGTCATTACACAAAGTAAAACTATTCCCCCCACGCCCCCACACACACACTGTTCCTCACATTGCTTGTCAACTGCTGGAAATGGCCCACCTTGATTATCACTACAAAATACTTGTTTTTTTTCTTTCCTGCTGGTAATAGCTCACCTTACCTGATCACTCTGGTTACAGTGTGTATGGTAACACCCATTGTTTCATGATCTCTGTGTATATAAAATCTCCCCACTGTATTTTCCACTGCATGCATCTGATGAAGTGAGCTGTAGCTCACGAAAGCTTATGCTCAAATAAATTTGTTAGTCTCCAAGGTGCCACAAGTCCTCCTTTTCTTTTAACATATAAATAGCAACTTTATATACACACACGTGTTCCTATTTTGGCACTTAAACAACAGCTAGATTTTCCAAAGGACTCAGCACTTACCAGTTACCATTTTGACACTCATGACATCCAACATGACAAGTACTTTTGAAAATCTGACCCATAGGGTCTACCAGCCACATTCAGATATGAATTTGGATTCCAAAGTTTGGATCTTGAGTTTTGGCATCTCTCTGTTAAACTCATTCACAAAAAGTTTGTTTCAAGAGAGTTGCTTGTTATTTATCATGTGTATTGTTTGTGGGCTCCTATTATGATCACATCTTTAGAACACTGGGAAAGAAAGATGACGACAGAACTGCTCAAAGTATTCTAAAATCTTCACTCAAAGCATGGTTTTAGGTGAAGCAAACATGCCAATGGCTGCACTGAAGTTCCCTATTTATAATTCAATACTAGCATTGTTTAGAGCAGGGGTTTCCAACTGTGGGCCGTGACCCAAAGGCGGGCCACGACAGTCCTGGGAGGTCTGCCAGCGCAACTGCATTTGCCAGTCAAGCTCTTAGTAAATCTTTAACTCCGCGTGACTCATGTAATCGAAGTCAAAGCTATATAAATGTAGTGTTTTGAGCTGTTTATGTTGGACAGAGTATAGGAAAAAAACCTTTATTTTTTAAAAAACAAGCTGTAATATGTCAAGTTTAATTCTCATGAGTACAATGGTACATTTTACTGCAAGGTAACCTAGCAACATACACTCAGTCCACCATTTACAACTGTAAAAAACGGCAAGCAGTATTGCAATCTGACATGGATCAATCTCATTTTCGAAAATGAGAAGGGTGCACTGGTGAAGAAGATAAAGAAGTCCCAAACCATCTACAGGAACATGAAATGAACCAGCCAAAAAAATAAAGAAAGTGGTAAGAAAATATGATAAAACATACTCAAAGTTTGGATACTCCTTTACTGGATCATCAGAGTACCTGTTGCCACAGTGTAGTATAAAGTAACTGTTATTTTATATTTTTATTTACAATATTCAATTTTTTTTCTAATTAATAGAGATTAGGGTTGGGTCTTTACTTACACAGCTCAGAAATTTAGATTTTACACTAAAAAACTTGAAAATACAAAATTTTAATACAAAATACAGCGATTATGTTTTAAAATCAACAAATAATAACACAATGTGTTTAACAATTTTTTTAACATTGTTGTATTGCTTATTGTTCAGTTTGATACATTTATACATTGTGTTTTCTGTGTCTGCATGCCACATTTTGCTCTCAACATTATATAAAGTGCAGCTTTACTAAAACGGTTTGGTTTCAAAGATCTTGAATAATATCTTTGAGTGCATATTGCTAGGAATTTCTATCATTACACATTTACATTAACATGAAAAGGAAACCTACACTGTTTATTTACTGTGTTATAGTTTATGTGCATGTAATAATTAAAATTAGTAAGTGGGCCACAGTGCCAATTGCAGATGCACAGATGAGCCTCAGGGGAAAAAAGTTTGGGAACCCCTGTTTAGGGGGCAGTTGGGGACACTACATTTTCAGGATGTAGTCGCAGAGTTAAAATCTGTTCTGGCTGAGTGGTTTTCTACTACTATGTATGGAAAGTTTTGTTCTTTATCCATTATGTATGAAGTATGTTTTGTTCTTTTTCAACTATTGGATGGGTACTCCACCACTCTATTTCCAATACTCAAGAAGAAATACACAGTTGGTAAATGTACTTTTAGCTTTCATCCACTAGAATAGCCTGTTTGATTGCTAGAACAGGGCTTTAAGAGGAGTACATCCTGCTGCTGGCAGTTAGATTTTATAACGAAATATTTTCTTCCATTGAAAAAGTCAGGGATTTATGCAGGAAACTCATTAGCTTTAATAGAAGTTATCCACATAAATCTCCATCATTAATAATGCTAGGTTAAAAAAAGGATACTACACACACCATAGAAGTAGCATTATTCAGTGGGCAAACGTGGGAGCAACAGTCAGAAACTCATGGCTCTGAAATTGATACAATGCATGACAAGTCATTTATTTTATCATCAGCAATGTGCAAAGCACTTTACACACATGTATGAAATCAGGGTCTCTGCCTTGCAGAGCTTGCAATCTAAATAACCTCTAACCTCATAAGCTAAGCACCAAATTCCAATCTCATTAAAAATCAATGGAAGTTTTGGAGATAAAGGTTCAGTGACAAGGGATTCATAATCAGAATTTCAAAGGTGCAGATCACCTGCAGCTCTCATTGCATCAAAGGGCCAAATTCAGATAAATGTAGTTTAGTGTAAGCAGACGCATCTCTAATGGGAATTCACTAGACCTGTAAACAGTGGGGTAAGTTATACATTGAGTGCAAGTTGGTCAAAAAGCGGGAGTTAAGTCAGGAGCAGCAAAAAGCTCCCTAAAAGTGGGGGAGGCCACAGATGCCCGAACCATGGCCCCGCCCCCACACTACCCCCTTTCCCGAGGCCCCGCCATTACATCGCCCCACCTCCTCGAGCCTTGCCCTCGCACAACCCCTCCCTCCAATGTTCTGCTCACCCTCTGCCTCTTCCTCCCCTACCCCCAAGACCCAGCCCGCCGCTCACTCCTCTCCACTCCTTCTCCCCATCACTCACCCTTATGGCTGGTAAAAAGTGGTCTTTGGATGTCCTTGTTAATTTTATTTGATGGAAGCCTATTTGAAAGGATAGTTTTCAACTTGTGCCAATATACCAGTAGAGTCAAAGGTGTGTAAAATTAACTTAGGCTACATCTGGCATAGCCCTCCCACTTTTAAAAGTGATGGGCCCATGGCCCCCAGCCCCGGCCCATTCCGGCACCCCTGTGTTAAGTAAAAAGTGGCAAGGCAGTGTAAATCTCACCCAGCCCTCTCATAGAATACACTTGGGGGATTTCTATACCGCATGCTTCTTTCAGCGGCATAGGAGTACAGTAGAGTACATATACAAATAGTGCCCCCTAGCATGGGTATAGATAGGAGGGTAGACTGTGAGGTGTGGCTGAGGTGAGTAGAATAAAGACATGCCTGAAGGGTGTGGATATGTACCCGAGGATCTACCCTACATGACTCTCTTCCAGCCCAAGCTGTGCCTCCTAGCTAAACTGTTTTTAGCAGTGTAGTCTCCCATTGCCTCCCTGCTGCTGGAGCCCTTCCCTGACACAGGGAAAGGCTCTGGCAGCAGGGAGTTACTGAAGTCTTTCCCTACAGCTTCCCCCATGCCATAGCCTTTCACTGACACAAGTGGTTATTCATCACACAGTGTGGCTGCTGCTGGCCTTTCATTGTGGCATGTAGCTACACATCTGTTGATCGCTTTTGATGATTACCTGTTCTGTTCATTCCCTCTGGGGCACCTAGCATCGTTGACAGTGCTGTGGGGTGTAGACGTAGCCTAAGTTAATTTTACACACCTTGACTCTTCAATCTGTGCCAATATGCTGGTAAACTATCCTTTAATATAGGCTTGCATAAAATAAAATTAACAAGCACATCCAAAGACCATTTCAAAATAATCAGTGTAAAATACCTCACTTTTTGTTGACTTCATTGTAGGATTTAACAGAATACACAATTCTTTGCTTGTGCATTATTACTTGCAAAATGAAGGCTTGCAGTAAAAACGCTACAAATTGATTTGCTGACATATATTTACTTATAATTTAACTAGTCAGCAGATGCCAAATGCAAAGGCATAAAGACATAGTAGCTTCACATTCAAGCAGAAACAGAATTAACCAACACAAAATGATACTTTAATTTCCTATCTGTACAAAAAGATAAAATGACAGCTGCAAAGATCAGCTGTGAAACATGTAATGAATTCATTACGTCTACCCATACTGTTCATTCTGATTGAAAAGATTAATCAGAAATGTACAATACCACCAATAATAGTCAGTAGATGAGGATATACATAAATGATCATAATGAAAAAAAGCAATCTGGATGATCCTGGCAAACCACCATTTCTAGGTCATTAGGGACTGATGTGTGGACAAGTGGAGGCAATAGGTGATTTACCAAGGAGTCTATCAAGTGCCTCCCTGCATATGCAAATGAAGGTTTTTGTAAGCATACCTATTGTACACCCACCCTAAACAATATGGCCCATAAAAAAAGTGGGCAAACGTACGACATACAGAACCAAATACTGTTCAGGTGATTCTCACAGAAGTTAAGCAAGTGTATCCAACTGAAGAATTTGGCCAAATGACAGCTAATGGGATGGAGGCTCCAAAATGCTTAACTTAGTTTTGAAAATAACTTCTAAGTCATAAAGACACTTTATAATTTTACCCAAGATCTATAATGTACATTTAAAAATGAAACCACTTCACCACTGAAATGCAGTCACCTGTGCATGAAACATAGTAACCTTTCATAATTCCCAAGACCACTACAAAACAATTTAGAATAGCCATATTCATTTGAAACTGGAGAAGAATTTTATGTAGGCAGAATAGAATTTCCCCAAACTGGAATTTGGTCAGGTCACAATAAGAACTAAAAGCTTAAATTCTTGTTGGTAGAATAGATGAAAACAAATGGCACTTACATCCACCTCTTCACAGAAAGTAGCAGTGGGGCCGTACTGCAGCTGGCATTGGTGATGTACATCATAGATCACTCCTGGGGCAATGAGTGGTGACTTTAAATCTTTCTTTTTTGGGATATCATCTAGACAGAACCCCCATCCTCGGCTAAAGATGAAAATTGGAAATTTAAAAATCACACATTTTAATTTTAATTTTGAATTTTTTTAATAACTCACCTTTAAAATTCTAATCATTAATGGCACTTTTCCATGTGGTCTTTAGGAAACAACACTTCTAGATTCTAAGTCGAGCATGGGGAAATTTGCAAATAACTTATTTCCAATAATGTTTTAGGAACCTCTGATAAGAGCAAAGTACTTCAAAAAACCTGGGAGTATCTGCCATTCAGGAGCAGCCTGGATATTAATATATCTGGTATCTTGACCCACCCATGGCATATAGAAGGGGCCTTGAAGTCTGCAAAGGCAGCAGAATGTGCGTGGGTCTCCTTTGTGGTATATCATGACTCCTGTGACCTTCTTAGCAGCTATTTCCTTCTCCTGTGAATTATAAAGAAGGGCAGCTCTCCCCATTTCACCTTGCAGAGGAGTTTAATGGAGGCCGAATGTAGTTTGATAAATTAGAAATAGATTCAGTCTTTGGAATGACTTCAGTGAAAGCTGTAGTCACTCTCAACAGTGTAGAAAGTCAGACCAGAGGTGCCTGAAGTTGGGCATCCAAAATTTGAGGCCCCTTTAATAAGAGGTCACTTGTAAGAATACAGTGATTTGTCCAAAGTCTCATAGGAAATCTGTGTCAGGCCCTTTGATGCTCTACCATATACCTTAGCCAAAAGGCCATCTTTTCTCCCAGTAACCATATGATAGCTGTAGGTTACATCAAGTTTTGAACTCGTATTGTTGAAATCTAAGTCCAGTTTGAACATTGCACAATGCAACAATTCTTCCACTGTTCACTGTATCGTACTTGGTCAGATTTGGGTGTGCCATGACATGGGAACCAACAACATACCTCAAGGATCCTCAAAGGAAAAAATAATTAAGAATTTCTCCTCAACTCTGTGTCACCTCACATAGTACTCTAATCACTCACTCTAGGAAACGTGTGATGTATTCCTTGCTGCACGGTGACCAGGTGAGTGGAGAAGGATCATACTTTAGCTGCCGGGACATAATGTATGGATGTCTTCCAATGGGCTCACAGTCATTCTCTTTTCCATCATGCTGGATACCAAAACTAAAAGAATTACCAAGCACAGGAAATAGTCATTATAGCTGATAGTTACATAGCAACTTTCTTCCAAAGATCCCAAAGTAATCAGGAAAACATATAGGTATCACTTCATCCATGAGCTAAAAGTAGACAAAGCCAACAGAAGTCAAGACTCTCGTTGCCTTCAGTGGGCATTAGATCAGGCATACAATGCACAGCAGTGCCCCCAGGCAGAAAATAAAGAGTAAACTTCCCTAGTTGAAACTCTGGGAGAATTTTAGGGAGTCAAAACATAATTATCCAATTTGACTTTTGCCAAGCCCCATAGTTTACACCCAGTGCTTAATTTTTAATGAAAGAGGTGTCAGGAATCAAGCAATTAGGTGCTGGGAGTCAAGCAATATTTTTACTTTTATAACTGAGGCGGCAAGCCCAGATGTGCTGGGACTATGAACTGCCATGCATAGAGATGTCGGGGTTCAGCCCTGGCAAAAATTAAGCACTGTTTACACCCTGACTCTTGAATAAAGTTCCAGTGCATTTTTAATAATCATAGGTACTCATGCCTCATCCACACAGCAGCGCCCTTTAGTACCCTGCAGTGAAGATAATTTGGTAATGATTCAGAGGGAAGGATGCCACCTGGAGAACGCTCATAGCACTTTCTGCAGCACCTTGATTTTCAGGCCAAAACCCATCTTAGACTATGAAATTGGTTGAAATCACAGTACTAAGCAACATGGCTACAAGTTTGGGGTTTGCAGTGAGGGACTTTCAAAAGGGGAGGACTGCAAGTGCTGGAAGTCTGGGACAATACTGAAAACAAATCTCATAAAAATTGTAGGCCAAATTTTGCCCGACTAGTGTGCTGTAAATCAAAATAACTCCATTCACTTCAGTATAGTTATAGCTGACTCAGATCAGAATTTGGCCCATTAATCTTCTCTTAATAATTTATCTTTACAATACTTTCTTTCTAAAATAATTTCAAGGATGTCACTTTTTATTGATTTAGACAGAGGCATTGCTTCCCACATTGTCATATATTCATGAATGGATTGATGAATTAGCCTCTACTCTCCTCCCCATCTCTCTCCCCAGTTAATAATACTGTGCGTTTTAACAGACCTTCCCCATAGCAGGTCCTCCCACAGCTGTTCATAACTCAGTCTTGTCTAACCTCTACAAAGCTTTTGTCAATCGTGGTAAAAGATTTACTACTCAATAACTTTTAACAATAATAATCAAGCACCCTGCTGAAAGACCAACATGAAAAAATTGCCACTGTAGCTCAGTGCAGCACCATACCCAGCGACCATCCAAGGAATCAAAAAAAAACCCCAATTACTTTAGACAGGTTTATTTTTCAGAAACATCACTGTTAAATCATCCCAGTATTTCAAAAGCTTGGGTGGCTCTTTCCCTCTTCCACAACTTTGTTTTTTTCTTACTTATTTTTAGATTTATATAAGGTGATCCTCCTCACCCCATCTCTGGGGGTGTATGCAAAAATGAAGGTCGAAATCACGTACGCAAAGCTGAAAATCTCTATCTAAAACCACATGCATTGGGGTACCAAAAATGACTATGACTGTCAGGAAGAGAGCTAGAGCTGGTCAGGAGGTTTCCATCTGAATGATTGTTTGACAGAAAATGCAGTTTCTGCAAAACTGAAATTTTCCACATGATAATTTTGATTTGCCAATTTTGTTTCAATAGTCATTGTTACAACCAAAAAGAAAAAAAAGAATCAAAGAGCTATGGTCTGTGCTACACCAGATGATCACAATGGTCCCTTTTGGCCTTGGAATTTACGAGGGAAATACAATTTTAAGATAAATGTAAAACATTGCATTAGACCAGGCTAGACTCTGCATTCTACATCCAACTGTACCTGTGTCCAAGCTCATGTGCAATAGTGAATGCCAAAGGCAGCCCAGAATCTTCATTAATATTACAGCTCCGGTGAGGTTGGCACATACCAGATAGATGAGACAAACCTAAGGTTTCACAAGGACGATTCATGCCAGCACAGATGTCCTTTCTGTAAACACAGTGAAGACTTGAAGGTAAGAGAGTTTAAAACTGCATGTAATGCTGCTTACAATGGATAGTAAATCTCCATATCATCATATATTTGTTGTTAATCTGAATTTTCAGCAAAAGACGGTATGTCTAACACTTATACCACTATGTACGACTTATTATTTATTAGTCAATATTTATATTGTGATCATGCCCAAATATCCCAGTCAGGATTGGGGCCCACTTGTGGCAGGCACTGTACCAGTGAAGAAAAAGAGACGTCCCTGTGCTGAAGGCCTCACAATCTCAGGACACAGACAAAAGGCAAGGGATGGGGATACAACAGACATGCAAATGAATATGGTAAAGAATCGGCATTGCTTAATTAGTTACATGGATTGCAGTTGTTTGTTTGCGTTTTAATTGGGGATACAACTAGGGAGGAAGAGAGTAGGAAAAGGAAAGAAGGGGAAGAAAAACAGCTGCAGTTTGTCATATGTGTAGCTATGCTCATCAGCCTGGGATTTGTAGGATTTGCAGAGTCGATTCTTAAGGAGGGAGCTGAAGGAGGATAAAGTAGTGGCTGTTCAGTTTTTAATCACAAAGTTTTCCCAAGGCAGGCAGCATCAGACAGCACATTGGTGTGTGAGAAGCTGACTGGTGGTAGCCAAGGCAGGAAATGCCAGCAGAGTGAAGGTGAGGGTTGTCGTCATTTTAAGTTGCTAGATCACCTTGGCAGCAGGAAGCTAAATTATAAAGGGACTTGAATGTAAAGACTTGATTGATTGGAAATTACACCATTTTTTCCAGGCAAGCGGTGTGCCAATCCTTGCTCTTGGCTCCAAAAATTCAGCTATTGTGGAACAGAGTTTTCCATTTGATGCCGAGGAAAAGATAGAATGTGCACATCTGAGATTCAGAACAGTGAAGGTAAATCTTCCTTCCCCGCTCATTTTCCACATCCTTAAGATCTTCTGCACTAATCGGTTTGGATAGAGTTCCTCCTGACTAACAGATGAAGACTGCATAACTAAGTCCTTTGATTATATTATTCTCTCTCCCTTTATGGGTTTGTCTACAGTGGAGCTGTAAGGTGCAAATGATGATGGGGTAGCCACTTTGAGTACAATTCCATCTGAGATTTCAGGTATGTACTTAGGCAACTAGCGCCTCCCACCGCTCACACCAACAAGGGTAAACTTCTGTTTTTAGCACACTCGGTCCAATTAAGCTAGCATGGAGTAGATCTACTCCAACAGGAAATTATACCTTCCAGCTCCAGTTTAGGCACACCCTAAATGGAAGTGAGCATGGGGTGATTATGAAGGAAGTATTATCCCAGTCTCTTCTTAGACAAGGACAATACCTTATTTTTTGCAATACGTGGCAGGGATTTTTAACCTTTTGGAAATGCAGGAGAGTATGACAACTGAATAATAAAGGTGCAGGGAATACTCTATGGAATACTGTCTCTTGTAGCATCCAGGATCCACTTATCCATTTACTCTAGGCCCATGCAATGAAGAAATCTTTAAATCTTCTGCCTATGATGGCATTCTGTACACGCCTCTGTGCCTCTATTTGACATTGGTGAGGCCTCATCTGGAGTACTGTGTCCAGTTGAATCTTAATCTCAGCCTTCCCAAGCACTGATGTTTGAGGACGTTTACATTTGTATCTGATTACAGATCTGAATTTCCTGGCTATGACCCATGTCTAATAAGACACCTACAGATACGAATAAAACATTATATAGGCTGTGCAAACAGATGTAAGCAACCCTCTACAAGGTACAGTGGGTCAGTTTTGACACCTTCCAGCCTTAACAGTGTACTTTTATGTAACCACTCATAAACTCCACCTGTACTAGCATCTGATATGCTCATCAAACAAAGTTATTTTTGTACTAAAACTGTCCTTCAGAAATTACATGTATTCATCAGGAACAACAGTATATGGGAAGTGTCTATGGGTTGGCGGTGGGGTGGGGGGGGAACCAAAAGGAGGCTATAAGCATGTTCTCAGTGAAAGAAATATTAATAAAATAATATTTGGAAGCTTCTCTCCAGGGTTGTGACCTTACCTAGTTAGAAGTACAGCTACATCATGATGTATTGGGTTGACATCATTTTTGGGATTGATGCTTTTCTGCCATTTGCAGAAGCTGGCTAATGTCTTATCTGCATGATGAACTATTTTCAAGCCTTGCTAAAGGAAAAAAAAGAAGAAAATATTATTACAAAGACTGCATTGTATTGCTAGAGCACAGCAGCAACATTAATTATCAGGCTCACTAAAGTCATTGCCCAAAGCTAGAAACATTAGGAGCAATGACAGTTATTTGCCTAATATCCCAAGTATTAAGTTAAAACTGTCATTTTTGCAGCTAGTGTAACTAGAGAAAAAGTATATCAAAAGAGGAAATTAGCATTTTTGGGAAGAAGCCTTCATAAAATGAAACTAACAACTGCATTTTTCAAACAACAATATTTTATTTTACTCTTGGAAACTAGTATTCTTCCTGACACAAAGATTAAGATTAATTTGCAAGTAATTTGGAGAAAGCTACCTTCCATCATGTTTATCACCTTTAATGCAACATGAACAATCTCATGATGAGGTAACATTTTATATTTTCATGGATACATTTCCTTCACTTCGTTTTTTTAAAAGCTGAAAAAAAATGTACAACAGTCGTCTTATGATCAGAGAGAACAAACACAAGTTGAAGAAAAAACATACTTTGAAGTGCAAAATAAGCTCTAGCAAAAACATATTTCCCTCTTCCTTGGTTTTGCCACAGAACCCTGGTCTACACGATGGGGTTAAGTCGAATTTAGCTGCGTTAGGTCGATTTAAAAATGACTGCATCCACACAACCAACCCCGGACCTAAAGGGCTCTTAAACTCAACTTCTGTACTCCTCTCCGACGAGGGGAGTAGCGCTAAAATCGATCTTGCTGGGTCGAATTTGGGGTAGTGCAGACGGGTTTGCATCAAGGAGAAACACACATAACTGTCACACCATAGCCTGGCCAGTCATGAAACTGGTTTTCAAAGCCTCTCGGATGCGCAGCGCGCCTTGCTTTGCTCTTCTAATCGCCTTATTGTCTGGCTGCTCAAAATCGAATATCGGGCAATTTGCCTCAAGTTCCCACCCCGCCATAAACATCTCCCCCTTACTCTCACAGATATTATGGAGCACACAGCAATAACAATGGGAATGTTGGTTGCGTGGAGGTCTGGTCAACAGCGCCAGCGAGCTTTTAAACGTTCAAAGGCACATTCTACCACCATTCTGCACTTGCTCAGCCTATAGCTGAACTGCTCCTTACTACTGTCCAGGCTTCATGAGCCATGGGAGCAAGAGGTAGGCATGACCGTGCGGTGCTGCCGGCTGGGAGAGCAGCCGGAGGCAGAAGCCTCCAGCTCGCAGGAGAGCAGAGTTGCGGTGGAGGCGGTGGAGACGTGCACCATGCCTTGGAGGTTGTTAGGAGCTGGGCAGGGAAGACGTTCCCAGAACCCCTGGCCAAGCTACATGTCCGATGAGGACGGCTACCAGTTCTACTGCACTGTGTGCTGCAGAGTTGCAGGACAGCAGAGTTGCAGCGGAAGCGGAGGAGCCGTACACCATGGATGAGGACGGCTAGCAGTCCTACTGCTCTGTCTGCTGTGAAGGCACCCAGGAGCTGCTGCTGTGTAGCAGTGCCAGCTGCTGCAGGTGCTTCTGTGTCGAATGCTTGGAGGTCCTGGTAGGGCAAGGTGCCTCGGCCAAGGCAAAAGAGCAAGAGCCCTGGAGCTGTTACATGTGTCAACCACAGAAGTGCTATGGGGTGTTACAGTGCCTACCGGACTGGAATGTACGGCTGCAAGACTTCTTCACCAGTGACAAGGGACAGGAAGATGATGCATCTAAAAAGGCCCGCACATTTCCCAGAGTCACTACCCTTGATAACAGAACGTCAATGATTGCATTAGCTACTTGGATCACAGCAGTCCCCACAGTAGACTTGCCCACAACAGCAGTGGTGACGGTGAGCTGAGCGGGCTCCATGCTTGCCATGGTATGGTGACTGCATGGGGAACCAAGGAAAAAAGGTGCAAAACAATTGTCTGCCGTTGCTTTCATGGAGGGAGGGGCAACTGACAACATGTACCCAAAACCACCCACGACAATGTTTTTGCCCCAACAGGCATTGGGAGCTTAACCCAGAAATCCAATGGGCAGCGGAGACTGTGGGAACTGTGGGATAGGTACCCACAGTGCACCGCTCTGTAAGTCGATGCTAGCCATGGTAGTGAGGAAGCACTCCACCGACTTAATGCGCTTAGTGTGGACATACGCGATCAACTGTATAAAATAGAATTCTAAAAATTGACTTCTCTAAAATCAACCTAATTTCGTAGTGTAGACATACCCTTACTCTGCCTCACTCCTAGTATATTATTATTTAGGGTAAAGTTTTCCAAAGCACTGAAGTGCCATAAGCATCTACGTTCCTTTTTCAAAGGTGCATTAGGCATTTAGGCCTAAGTCTCATTGAAAGTCAATGAGTACTTAAAAAGAAAAGGAGGACTTGTGGCACCTTAGAGACTAACCAATTTATTTGAGCATGAGCTTTCGTGAGCTACAGCTCACTTCATCGGATGATGATGTAGCTCACGAAAGCTTATGCTCAAATAAATTGGTTAGCCTCTAAGGTGCCACAAGTCCTCCTTTTCTTTTTGCGAATACAGACTAACACGGCTGCTACTCTGAAATGAGTACTTAAACTCTCAAGTGTTTAAGTCAGTTTTGAAAATGGGCTTTAGGTGCTTTTGAAAATTTTACCCTTGATAACCTTACCCATCGGGTTAGCTGGATAAATCAGGCTCCTATTTTGAAAATTATTTCACCTGTGCAGGCACTAGCTCTCATGTGGAGACCAATTGACTTCAACAGCCCAGGTCTCCACCTGGTGTAGGATTAGGACCTTTGATCATAAGTCCCTTTGGACAGAGACCTTATTTTAAGGCTATATCCATAGAAAGCCTTGCACAATTATGGTGCTATGAAAATAACCATTAAAGTTACAATAATCGGCATTCATTTAGGGGTGGTTACAGCATTTATGAGACATGGAACATGCAATCACCTCCATGTGGTTAGTTCACAACAATGAACATTTTATCAGCCACTGTTTCTCTGAGTTTTGAAAAAGGAGCTTATGGGGAAAATAACCTGTCTTGCAGGCATACAATAGTGGATCAGCTTCTTCAGAAAGCTCCACAGGCAGCTGCACTTGCTTTATGAATATGCTATGTGATCAGACGGGGGATGGTTCATTTGAGCATCCTGTACATTTGAATCTCTGCTCCGCAGCAAGCCTCCTCAATCTTTGAAAGTCCTCTTCTGGTGCTGAAGAGTTTTCCCCTCACACACAATTATCCTAATGTTTGAACATTTTAACTAAATTTCCTTTTGGAAGTTTATGCAGAAACACCTGCAGTTATGACACCTTCAGTCCCTGGAAAAATCATGGAGCAGGTCCTCAAAGAATCAATCCTGAAGCACTTGCATGAGAGGAAAGTGATCAGGAACAGCCAGCATGGATTCACCAAGGGAAGGTCATGCCTGACTAATCTAATCGCCTTCTATGATGAGATTACTGGTTCTGTGGATGAAGGGAAAGCAGTGGATGTATTGTTTCTTGATTTTAGCAAAGCTTTTGACACGGTCTCCCACAGTATTCTTGTCAGCAAGTTAAGGAAGTATGGGCTGGATGAATGCACTACAAGGTGGGTAGAAAGCTGGCTAGATTGTCGGGCTCAACGGGTAGTGATCAATGGCTCCATGTCTAGTTGGCAGCCGGTATCAAGTGGAGTGCCCCAAGGGTCAGTCCTGGGGCCGGTTTTGTTCAATATCTTCATAAATGATCTGGAGGATGGTGTGGATTGCACTCTCAGCAAATTTGCGGATGATACTAAACTGGGAGGAGTGGTAGATACGCTGGAGGGGAGGGATAGGATACAGAAGGACCTAGACAAATTGGAGGATTGGGCCAAAAGAAATCTGATGAGGTTCAATAAGGATAAGTGCAGGGTCCTGCACTTAGGACGGAAGAACCCAATGCACAGCTACAGACTAGGGACCGAATGGCTAGGCAGCAGTTCTGCGGAAAAGGACCTAGGGGTGACAGTGGACGAGAAGCTGGATATGAGTCAGCAGTGTGCCCTTGTTGCCAAGAAGGCAAATGGCATTTTGGGATGTATAAGTAGGGGCATAGCCAGCAGATCGAGGGACGTGATCGTTCCCCTCTATTCGACATTGGTGAGGCCTCATCTGGAGTACTGTGTCCAGTTTTGGGCCCCACACTTCAAGAAGGATGTGGATAAATTGGAGAGAGTCCAGCGAAGGGCAACAAAAATGATTAGGGGTCTGGAACACATGAGTTATGAGGAGAGGCTGAGGGAGCTGGGATTGTTTAGCCTGCAGAAGAGAAGAATGAGGGGGGATTTGATAGCTGCTTTCAACTACCTGAAAGGGAGTTCCAAAGAGGATGGCTCTAGACTGTTCTCAATGGTAGCAGATGACAGAACGAGGAGTAATGGTCTCAAGTTGCAGTGGGGGAGGTTTAGATTGGATATTAGGAAAAACTTTTTCACTAAGAGGGTGGTGAAACACTGGAATGCGTTACCTAGGGAGGTGGTAGAATCTCCTTCCTTAGAGGTTTTTAAGGTCAGGCTTGACAAAGCCCTGGCTGGGATGATTTAACTGGGAATTGGTCCTGCTTCGAGCAGGGGGTTGGACTAGATGACCTTCTGGGGTCCCTTCCAACCCTTATATTCTATGATTCTATGACCTAACCAATGTGCCATTTAGAGCAGCAGTTAGGTTTAAAACAGCTGTGCCAGAGTTAATAGATTAACAGAGGAGTGAAATGAGCAAAACATTTTAAACAAGCAACCCTTCCCCCTCCCCCCCCCCCGCCCACACACACAGTGGATGCACTCATTACTCTCTTTAATGGTAATCTAAATACCCTACCAAAATCTCTCTTCAGTGCACCGTGTGCCCAACTTTCTTCACTGTAATCTTGGGGAAAACAAAATCTCACCTCTTCCTCTTCAAGAAGAATAAGGCGGACGAGCACGATGTGGATTGCATTGCCAATGCTTGGATCATGGAACAATCCTGTGACCTGTGTCAGAGCCAGGAGGTAAGAAATTAATTGATTCCTCTACAGCAAGACAGAACTTTAGAGAGGAAATATACAGGTTATTTCAAGCAGAGTGCCCTCTCTGTTTTTTTCCCCTCCTACATGTTATTGATAGAAGGTTCACTTTGCATTCTGAAATGCAATAACTGTGATGAACTACTTCAGCAATTAACAGAAGTTAAGATGTTATGCAGCAAAATTTACAATCCATTAAAAAATTACTTTAAGTTAATTTTTTCTCATTTAGAGTCCAATCCACTATTGTGTAGTCGTTTACATCAGTGCAAGACAGGTGTAAAACACTGCCAGTGCACAATAGTAGCATTTTACATCCACTTTGTACTGGTGGGAATGACTACCAAAGGTTCAGGGCAACAGCGAATGAGGCATTAATTGTTGGGTTCTGTAGAAACTCCATTAGGATTCGGCTGGCCAAAGGAAAAAGAGGAAGTCAATACTAGGCAAATAGAAGCGAGGTGAAAAATATATACAGTAGTATCATCAGCGTAGAAGTGGAAGCTAAGGGTTTGTCTTCACTACTGGCTAAATTGGCACTGCTGCGATTGATGCAGTGGGCATTGATTTAGTGGGTCTAGTGAAGACAGGATAAGTTGATGGCAGAGCGCTCTCCCATCGACTTCAGTACTCCACCTTCCCAAAAGGAGGAAGCTATGTCGACAGGAAAGCAGATTAGACACTGCTGTAAGTCGATCTAAGCTGCTTTGACTTAAGTTACGTAACTTAACTAAAAAAGAAAAGGAGTACTTGTGGCACCGTAGAGACTAACCACTTTATTTTGTTGTGGCACCGTAAAGACAAACAAAATAAATTGGTTAGTCTCTACGGTGCCACAAGTACTCCTTTTTCTTTTTGTGGATACAGACTAACACGGCTGCTACTCTGTAACTTAACTAGTGTAACTTAGATTGCTTAACCTCATTAGTGTAGAGCAGACTTGAGACTAAAGATAAAATGACAGAGGGAGCAGTTAGACTAAAAAATAGCAAAGGGCCCAGCACTGAACTCCAAGTCCTCATGCCCCAAATGGTGGTGTCAGTATGCGTAGGATTAGACAGGCTGCTTCTCAAGAGCATTACTAGTAAAAGGAAGAGATGGGGGGAGGGGGCAGTAGGAACAGAGCTGACACTTAAGCCTGGTCTATACTTAAAATTTAGGTTGACCTTGCTAGGTCACTCAGGGGTCCTGAGCATCATCATTAGATTGACCTAAGCCCCAGCATAGATGTGGCTAAATCAACGGAGGAATTCTTCTGTCAACCTAGCTACCGCTGGTTGGGGAGATGGATTATCTGCATAGATCGTAAAACCCTTCCATCAGTCTAGGAAGTGTATACACTGCAGTGCTGTAGTATATGTCCTTAGTCACAATAATCTGCCAGAGGAAGTCATTTTCCTCCTCAGCCGGGAAGAGTTGCATCTGTTGTTTGAAAAGAGCTTTACTCTGAGTACAAAAATTGATCAGTTACATTGGGCTCTGTAAACAGTTACTCCAAAACAATACAGTATTGATGGCTACAAAATGAAACAGAATTTCAAGACTTTTGTGTGAATCCATTGCAGATGTGTCCCATTAGTGCAAATTATATAATCAAAAACCTAGGAGACATCTGAATTGCATTAGCTGAATACCATAGGATGGAAAAAATATATTGTGCTGGCTCTTAATTCTTCAGAAATGTCTCAGCTGAAAGATAATTACACTCCTTAGCAGCTGCCAAAAAAGGCTGTTCCTAGTGGGGGCTGGTTAGTCTAACAAAGTCTCAGTCACACAAAGGACTATTGAATTATGATGTACTTATGGGTTTTTTTTAAGTGCATGTCAGATTTTTTCTTGGGCTATTAATACAGTACATAAATATTACATTTACAGTACATAAATATTAGTGAAACAAAGGATTTTACATAAGAACGGCCATACTGCGTCAGACCAAAGTCCATCTAGCCCAGTATCCTGTCTTCTGACAGTGGCCAATGCCAAGTGCCCCAGAGGGAACGAACAGAACAGGTAATCATCAAGTGATCCATCCCCTGTTGCCCATTCCTAGCTTCTGACAAACAGAGGCTAGGGACACCATCCCTGTCCATCCTGGCTAATAGCCATTGATGGACCTATCTTCCATGAATTTATCTAGTTCTTTTTTTAATCCTGTTATAGTCTTGGCCTTCACAGCATCCTCTGGCAAGGAGTTCCAAAGGTTGACTATGCATTGTGTGAAAAAAACACTTCCTTTTGTTTGTTCTAAACCTGCTGCCTATTAATTTCATTTGGGGATCCCTAGTTATGTTATGAGAAAGAGTAAACAACACTTCCTTATTTACTTTCTCCACACCAGTCATGATTTTATAGACCTCTATCATATCCCCCCCAAGCCATCTCTTTTCCAAGCTGAAAAGTCCCAGTCTTATTAATATCTCCTCTCATGGCAGCCGTACCATACCCCTAATCATTTTTGTTGCCCTTTTCTGAAAGTTTTCCAATATATCTTTTTCAAGATGGGGTGACCACATCTGCACGCACTATTCAAGATGTGGGAGTCTTATGGCTATATATAGACACAATATGATATTTTCTGTCTTATTATCAATCCCTTTCTTAATGATTCCGAACATTCTGTTTGCTTTTTTGACTGCCGCTGCACACTGCGTGGATGTTTTCAGAGAACTATCCATAAGGACTCCAAGATCTCTTTCTTGAATGGTAACAGCCAAATTACACACCATCATTTTATATGTATAGTTAGGATTATGTTTTCCAATGTGCATCACTTTGCATTTATCAACACTGAATTTCATCTGCCATTTTGTTGCCCAGTCACCCAGTTTTGAGAGATCCTTTTGTTGCTCTTTGCAGTCTGCCTGGGACTTAACTATCTTGAGCAATTTTGTATCATCTGCAAATTTTGCCACCTCACTGTTTACCCCCTTTCCCAGATCATTTATGAATATACTGAATAGGGCTGGACCCAGTACAGACCCCTGGGGGACACCAGTATTTACCTCTCTCCATTCTGAAAACTGACCATTTACTCCTACCCTTTGTTTCCTATCTGTTAACCAGTTACCATGAGAGCTCTTATCCCATGACAGTTTACTTTGCTTAAGAGCCTTTGGTGAGGGACCTTGTCAAAGGCTTTCTGAAAATCTAAGTACACTATATCCACTGGATCCCTCTTGTCCATATGCTTGTTGACCCCCTCAAAGGATTCTAGTAGATTGATGAGGCATGGTTTCCCTTTACAAAAACCTTGTTGAACATAATTTATTGGGGGAAAAGTCATCTGTGTGTCTGGCAATTTTGTTCTTTACTATACTGTAGTTTCAACCGGTTTGCCCGGTACCGAAGTCAGGCTTACTGGCCTGTAATTGCCAGGATGACCTCTGAAGCCCTTTTTAAAAATTGGCGTCACATTAGCTATACTCCAGTCATTTGGTACAGAAGCTGATTTAAATGATAAGTTACAGACTACAGTTAGTAGTTCTGCAATTTCACATTTGAGTTCCTTCAGAACTCTTGGGTGAATACCATTTGGTCCTGGGGACTTATTACTGTTTAATTTATCAATTTGTTCCAAAACCACCTCTAATGACACCTCAATCTGGGACAGTTCCTCAGATTGGTCACCTAAAAAGAATGGCTCAGGTTTGGGAATCTCCCTCACATCCTCAGCCGTGAAGACTGATGCAAAGAATTCATTTAGTTTCTCCGCAATTGCCCTTTTAGGCCTTCCTAATTATATTTTTACACTTCATTTGTCAGAGTTTATGCTCCTTTCTATTTTCCTCACAAGGATTTAACTTCCACTTTCTTTTTTTGCCTTTTTTGCCTCTTTTAATTTGTTGTTTAGCCATGGTGGCACTTTTTTGGTTCTCTTACTGTGTTCTATGTACTGACTCCATGGGTGCTCCAAGGTTGGAGCACCCACAGCAAAAAAAATTGTGGGTGATGAGCACCCACTGGCAGCCCCACTACCAGAATCTCTCCCTCCCCCCCAGTGCCTCCTGCCCATCAGCGGGCCCCACTGATCAGCACCTCCCCCTCCCTCCCAGCACCTGTCGTGGATCAGTTGTTTCGCAGCGTCAGGACAGGAGGTGTGTGGGGGGTGGAACTGGGCAGGAAAGGGGTGGGATGGGAAGAAGCAGGGAGGGGATGGGGCCTGGGCAAAGCCAGGGAGAACACCCCCATGCAGTTTAGAAACTTGCGCCTATGTATTATGTTTTTTTAAATTTGGGGTATACATTTAAGATGAGCCTCTATTAGGGGGTCTTTAAAAAGTTTCCATGCAGCTTGCAGGGATTTCACTTTTGGAGCTGTACCTTTTAATTTCTGTTTAACTAACCTCATTTTGGTGTAGTTCCCCTTTCTGAAATTAAATGTTACAGTGTTGGGCTGCTGTGGTGTTTTCCCCGCCACAGGGATGTTAAATTTAATTATATTATGGTCACTATTACCAAGTGGTGCAGCTAGATTCACCTCTTGGACCAGATCCTGAGCTCCACTCAGGACTAAATCAAGAATTGCCTCTCCCCTTGTGAGTTCCAGGACTAGCTACTCCAAGAGTCAGTCATTTAAGGTGTCAAGAAACTTTATCTCTGCATCCCGTCCTGAGGTGACATGTATCCAGTAAATATGGGGATAGCTGAAATCCTCCATTATTACTGAGTTTATTTTAATAGCCTCTCTAATCTCCCTGAGCATTTCACAGTCACTATCACCATCCTGGTCAGGTGGTCAGCAATATCTCTCTACCGCAATATTCTTATCATTAGAGCATGGAATTACTATCCATAGGGATTCTATGGTACAGTTTGGTTCATTTAATATTTTTATTTCATTTGATTCTACGCTTTCTTTCACATATAGTGCCACTCCCCCACCAGCACAACCTGTTCTGTCCTTCTGATTTTGAAGGGGACGAAGGCAAGATTTGATGATTTATTCAAAGTATTATTGTAATTAGAAATCAAAACCTCAGCTCCTTCACCCCAGCTTTGAGAGAATCCAGAATCAAACCCTAGATCCAGATTTTGCAACTGGCTGCTGCTGCTATAATGGACCAAACCAAAATGTTGGATCTAAATAATTCTGAAATCTGGATCTGATCTGACTTTAGAGGCCCAGTCTAGCTTTATCTTCCTCCCAAACTCCTTTTTCTAACAATTACTAAGGTTCCCATCGACATTGATGAAAGTAGGACATGAACATCTGATGACAGAATCGGACACTGGGAAGCATCTTCATTAAGAACCGAAATTAAAATAGAGGTTTCAGACATAGGCCAGGTCTACGATAGAAAATTAGGTCAGTTTAATTACATCGGTCAGGGGTGTGAAAAACCCAAACCCCAGAGCTGCATTATGAAGCCAACCTGAATCCTCATGTAGACAGCACTAGGCAGACAGAAAAATTCTTCTGGTGACTTATCTACCACTTCTTGTGGAGGTGGATTACCTTTGCCAATGGGAGAACCCTTCCAGTGGGTGTAGGTAGTATCTACACCGAATGCTACAGTGGTGCAGCTGTGCCGCTGTAGCATTTTAAATGTAGACAAGCCTTAAGAGAGGACTTGTACCTTGCTTACAAGGAATAGAAGCATAGGTCTTTTCTCACGTCTCATCCCTAACTATGGGCTACACCAGTTTCTATATATTGGCTGCCCCACTGTGCAGGAATGATGTGATGGCTTTGGAGCTGTTCTATATTAATTCAGGAACAATAAATGTTCTGTTGGTCTGACTGTTGTAAGGGCATACTGTCTACAAGGGGTTAATTCAAGCAAGCGCTGGTTGCACTGTGTAGGAAAGACGACAACAGCTTGAGATAGCTACCATTTAGTTACACTTGGGAGACAATACTAGACATTCACATTGATAGCCCACTTCTCGTCCCCTACTGAGCTCAATGGACCAGTTTGTCAAGACAGGAGGGGTCCCAGGTTGTAATAGGGTGGCCAAAGAGGAAAAAGTGTGAAAAATCAGGATAAAGCCCCAAATGTCAGGACTGTCCCTATAAAATCAGGACATCTGGTCACTCAAGGCTGTAAACACTGGAGAACCAAAATGCCAGGAAAGCAAGACAAAATGTCTTCTGAGGGGATAAAAATGGACAGTCTCAAGGGAGGGATTGCTGGGAGTTGCTGATGAGAAGTGGTTCTCATAGATCCTAGAAGTCAGAGGTCTGGAGCAGAGGGACCTCTGCCAAGGGCTGGCAAGCCTCTAGGTAAGCTAGGTATGTATTTAAGAGAGTTTAAAACAATATGAGGCCTTTTTATGATGCTTTGCTGGGTTCCTACTGTTAAAGTTTAAAAAACACTTTGTTTTAAGAAAGTTGCCTGGTCACAGTTGCCCAGAGGGAGACTTGCAGGTGCCAAACCCAGTTGGGCCTGGGACATCCTGGTAGCCACGATGCAATAGCTTGGGGACTGAGTGAATTGTGGGATTCCACCTTCAGAAAGGTAAAGGAGCAAGGCCTAACACCTGAGGGGATGCGCTCAGAGAGAAAGGGGTCCTGTAACTGGCACATAATATGAGTAATTTCTTTGGACTCTGTGAAACACCAGTGATGAACAACCCCAGTTTTCCTTCCTCAAATGCTGTATAATATGCTGTTTACTCCTATGGCTACTACCTAAATATAGTTCAGTAGAAAAGGAAAGGATGCAATGAAACTGAAGTCTCATAACTTCATACACATCTATCATTCACATTAATATTATCAGTAAAAACACACCTACAAATGAAACTAAAGGCCAGATTCTATTACCCTCACTCATAATGATTAGCACCTTACTCCTCAAGCTGTCCCACTGAAATGAATGGAACTAACTGTAACAATAGTATGAGTAAGGGTATCTGTCCCTATGCTTGTAAATCTAAAATGAGAGTCAGGAAATGCAAAAAAGTTCTTCTACATAAAGTGCTTCCGCTGACGTGCACGGGCTGAAATTGTGGAAAAGCAGCATCACTTGCCCCACAACCTCAGCCGTGCAGAACACAATGCCATCCACAGCCTCAGAAACAACTCTGACATCATAATCAAAAAGGCTGACAAAGGAGGTGCTGTTGTCATCATGAACAGGTCGGAATATGAACAAGAGGCTCCTCGGCAGCTCTCCAACACCACTTTCTACAAGCCATTACCCTCTGATCCCACTGAGAGTTACCAAAAGAAACTACAGCATTTGCTCAAGAAACTCTCTGAAAAAGCACAAGATCAAATCCGCACAGACACACCCCTGAAACCCCGACCTGGGATATTCTATCTACTACCCAAGATCCATAAACCTGGAAATCCTGGGCACCCCATCATCTCAGGCATTGGCACCCTGACAGCAGGATTGTCTGGCTATGTATACGCCCTCCTCAGGCCCTACACTACCAGCACTCCCAGCTACCTTCGAGACACCACTGACTTCCTGAGGAAACTACAATCCATCGGTGAACTTCCTGATAACACCATCCTGGCCACTATGGATGTAGAAGCCCTCTACACCAACATTCCACACAAAGATGGACTACAAGCCGTCAAGAACACTATCCCCGATAATGTCACGGCTAACCTGGTGGCTGAACTTTGTGACTTTGTCCTTACCCATAACTATTTTACATTTGGGGACAACGTATACCTTCTAATCAGCGGCACTGCTGTGGGTACCCGCATGGCCCCACAGTATGCCAACATTTTTATGGCTGATTTAGAACAACGCTTCCTCAGCTCTCGTCCCCTAAAGCCCCTACTCTACTTGCGCTATATTGATGACATCTTCATCATCTGGACCCATGGAAAAGAAGCCCTTGAGGAATTCCACCATGATTTCAACTATTTCCATCCCACCATCAGCCTCAGCCTGGTCCAGTCCACACAAGAGATCCACTTTCTGGACACTACAGTGCTAATAAACGATGGTCACATAAACACCACCCTATACCGGAAACCTACTGACCGCTATTCCTACCTACATGCCTCCAGCTTTCACCCTGACCACACCACATGATCCATTGTCTACAGCCAAGCTCTGCAATACAACCGCATTTGCTCCAACCCCTCAGACAGAGACAAACACCTACAAGATCTCTATCAAGCATTCTTACAGCTACAATACCCACCTGCGGAAGTGAAGAAACAGATTGATAGAGCCAGAAGAGTTCCCAGAAGTCACCTACTACAGGACAGGCCTAACAAAGAAAATAACAGAACGCCACTAGCCGTCACCTTCAGCCCCCAACTAAAACCTCTCCAGCGCATCATCAAGGATCTACAACCTATCCTGAAGGACGACCCATCACTCTCACAAATCTTGGGAGACAGGCCAGTCCTTGCTTACAGACAGCCCCCCAACTTGAAGCAAATACTCACCAGCAACCACACACTACACAACAGAACCACTAACCCAGGAACCTATCCTTGAAACAAAGCCCGTTGCCAACTGTATCCACATATCTATTCGGGGACACCATCACAGGGCCTAATAACATCAGCCACACTATCAGAGGCTCGTTCACCTGCACATCTACCAATGTGATATATGCCATCATGTGCCAGCAATGCCCCTCTGCCATGCACATTGGACAGTCTCTACATAAAAGAATAGATGGACACAAATCAGATGTCAAGAATTATAACATTCATAAACCAGTTGGAGAACACTTCAATTTCTCTGGTCACTCGATTTCTGATCTCAAAGTGACTATCCTTCAACAAAAAAACTTCGAAAACAGACTCCAATGAGAGACTGCTGAATTGGAATTAATTTGCAAATTGGATACAATTAACTTAGGCTTGAATAGAGACTGGGAATGGTTGATTCATTATAAAAAGTAACCTCTTACCCCCCACCCCCTGCTGTTCCTCAGACGTTCTTGTTAAACCCTGGATTTGTGCTGGAAATGGCCCACCTTGATTATCATACACATTGTAAGGAGAGTCATCACTGTAGATAAGCTATTACCAGCAGGAGAGTGGGGTGGGGGGAGAGAAAACCTTTTGTAGTGATAAACATCCATTTTTTCGTGGTCTGTGTGTATAAAAACCATCTTCTGTATTTTCCACAGTATGCATCTGATGAAGTGAGCTGTAGCTCACGAAAGCTTATGCTCAAATAAATGCGTTAGTCTCTAAGGTGCCACAAGTACTCGTTTTTCTTTTTTCATATTAACATCCTGATTATTGAAGTTCACATGTACCACTTTAGCCACAGCACTGCTGGATTTAGCTGTGAGAAAGCAGCAAGCATATGTTATAAGATCCTGTGCTTTACTTTGTGTTTTATTGTATAGGTTTTAAATCCTTCTACATTGTAGCTTCAGAAGTAGACTGGCTGGAACTGGCTGCCTCTCTGCTGACATAAGAAGATAATACCATAGGAGGTTCACGTCCAGAAGGTTTCCTTGACAATTATAAGAGCTAGAAACCCCTCCCTCCTCCCCCCCCCCCCCCCCGCAAGGGAAAACTTAAATGCAGTAGACACTGAATCAGTCAGGGGGTCAGATTAATACATCAAGGGGGACGGATCTGGGAGTCTGATAGCTGTGGTTTTGTTTATGCACTGAGTGAGTGGAGAAGGAGGGAGAAGATAATCTCAAATGGCTAAACAAGGTCAATGCCTAAAGTTCCGCAGATGATATTGTAATACTGGCAGACTAGGTGCCCGCTTATGCCAAGGACCCAGGCCTCTCTGAAAACTGACAAATACATGGGTGGAAACCAGCTTGGCTCACCTATGGGTTAGTATAGTTAAAACAGATATTAGTGATATAAGAATGTGTTTAGTGTCCAGACTTTGTGGAATGCTTGGAGGATGCTGCATGTATTAATTTTACATATAATGTCTGTATCCCATAGCATAAAGTTACATTGAGTGTTTGCACTGTAAACCTGTCAGTCATTGTGCAACTCAAACAGGAAAAGAAACATTGATTAAGGTAAAGTGCACATCCTGCGCACAAGATGGCCCTTTGAAGGCAAATGAGGCACCGTGTGACATCCAAGGGCAGAAACCTTGTTGATTGCATTCCTTAGTCCCTCCATGAAGGGGAGGCATGCGAATGAACTCATCCCATCAGCTTGGATTCTGAGGTGAAGGGAGAAAAATCCCTGACAAGGAGGAACTGGGATCTTTATACTGTCTGGACTCTGAGGGGTAAAGATGCTTTAACATAAGCAAGAGACTTGGCATGGGTCAGCCCTAAAGGACATGTAGAGCTGGTTATTATAGAAGCTTATTTTACCTTTTTAAATGTAAGACTGTAACTCATGTGTGTATGTTTCCTGTTTTAACCTTGTGAATAATTCATTTCTTTTCTAATAAATCTTTAGTTAGTTTATTACAGGATTGGCTACAGGCTGTGTCTTTGGCTTGAGATCTGAGTGCAAATGACATTGGGTAAGTGACTGGTCCTTTGAGAATGGGAATAACTTGAACATTGTTTTGATTTTTGGTGTAAAGTGCCCATCCATCACATAGTCCAGCTTGCCTGGGTGGCAAGATGGACTGGAGTGCTGAGGGGTCTGTCTGTGACTCCATGGTATAACTGTTATAGCGTTAGAGGAGTTCACACTCATTAGTGGGTTGGTGAAATCTAATTATAGAACATACCAGTTTGGGGCTTTTGCCCTACTTTTTGACAGTCTCCCCCAAGATTGGCACTCATGGTTGTGAGCTACTTCAGACAGCGTGACAAATATCACAAGAAATTATAACTTAAGTTTTACATTTTGAAATTTGCTCATTTGGAGATTTGAACTGAGACACATTTTACATTTTTAAATTTAGATTTCGTTATATGTGGGAAAAAGCACAATCTGTCTGAAAAAAAATTAATTATCCACTTTAAAACCAGAAGTGACAGAGGAGGAAAACATATCTGAAAATCAGCCCCAGTAATACAAGCCTCTACAATACAACTGATTGAACCATTTCCTCTGAGTGTAAAACCCACATGATAATTGTTTTGACTGAGTCTTAATAAAGCTAGTAAAACTGCACAAAATCTCTACACTACACCACTTTCACAATATCAGCAGTGTAAATCAGGAGTAACTCCATTTCTCCCAACAGGGGTTGACCAGTGTAAATGAGATCAGAATCAGACCAAATATCTAAGAAATTGATCAACAAGCACCGGGACACACCAAGATTTTTATTTTTTAGATAAGGGAATTATGTCTAACTGAACAGGGGAATCCCTGAAAATTTTCCTCCCCGCTCATATACAGACGGGGAAGTGAATCCATACCACTGATAGTCCACAGCTCTCCTGTTCTGCTGCATCTAACTGCTCTGTAACATTAAGTTAATACTGCTGCCTAGGAACATCAACAATCAGTAGATTGGAGAAGGTGCATGAGATTCAGAACTGGTAATTTCAGTGGAATGAAAGGTCCTGTGTAGTGCACATACAGAGCTATATCATATGGATGTCGTGATTTAGCACTGTGGCCAGAAATCACTCTGACTTAAAACCTGTAGAGGAAAAGCCCATTCTGCATGAAATAACAGAGAAGGACTTTAGACAAACACATAAAAATTATTCCACTTCTTTAAATGACAGACCGTTATGACTGTTTTCATGGTGATTAACAATGTAATCAAGTTTGCTTCTATTTATATAATTTATCTAACTGAAAAATAATTAAATACGATCACATACCATATTTATTATAGTGAGGATGTAGGATTCCACATTGTCACTTCCATGATATTCAATCATCTTACTGTCTGCAACAACCAGCGTCTCCACCCATCGTTCCTTGCTGACAGAACGCCGAGAAATTGTTTTGGCTGCCCTGTGATTTCCTTCCCACCTCTCCCTCCGATGTTCTTGTTTGAAAAAGCTGAAGGTATCTGGAATGTTAAAGGGCATTGATTTCATTTTACATGGAGATATTTTCATTGTGTTTCAAGGTCACAATACATTTTAAGTGTCTCGTTGTAATACTTACAGAGAAGTCAGAGCTCTACAGATTGAATTAAAATAAAATGGATCCAAACTTTACCAAAAAATCAGGAGTGTTTGGATCCCAGGTATTGATTGTGCCCATCATAGGGCTAGAGGCCAGCTGCAAAGTTTGGATCTGGGTATCAACCTTCCCAACATTCAAGAGATTTTGAGGTCTGTCATTTTGTTTCAAGGCCATCTCTAATTACAGCAGTTCTTGCTATAAAATAAAGGGCTTATTTTCCCTGTAACATATATGCTCAATTCCTATCAGTTGGATCCAGTCCTTCAGGGGCATGTGGTCTGTCCTGTGCATGAACAGGCTGGGAAAGATTCCCCGATCGAACAGGGGATGGATCACTTGATGATTACCTGTTCTGTTCATTCTCTCTGGGGCACTTGGCATTCAGAAGACAGGATACTGGGCTAGATGGACCTTTGGTCTGACCCAGAATGGCCGTTCTTATGTTCTGAGCAATGAAACTGCTTCACCAGCAGATGGCACCTATACTCCACTGGGGCATAATAGCCGCTACCTACCACAGCTGTCAATTAGAGACAAGGCAAGTATTTAAGTGAGGTAATATCTTTTATTGGACGAACTTCTGTTGCTGAAAGAGACGGACTTTCAAGCTACACAGAGCTCTTGCTTTTGAGCTACACTGAAGAGCTTTGTGTAGCTCAAAAGCTTGTCTCTCTCACCAACTGAAGTTGGCCCAATAAAAGATATTACCTTGCCTAACTTGTCTCGCTAATATCCTGAGACCAACATGGCTACGACACCATACAATCAGCCGTCAGTGTAACCTGTCTGATTGATGGATGAGGAGCTCTGCGCTGCAGCTATAGCTCTGTGATCTTTGCTTCTTGCTCGGAAGTTTTTTCCCCCCCTTTTCTCTTTAGTGTTGCTAACAATTTAAATCATGGCAGCTTCTCCTGACTGACTTCTAGCTTTGAAAGCCAGAGCTGCCTTAACAGGGAAATGATCTGTGGGGGAGTTGTGAGATACCCAGGTGGCAGTGACTGGCACAGGGCACAGTAGAATGCCTTTGTGGTGGTCATAACCTCCTAGAAATGCATATTATTCATATATTAGTAGTAGTACTAGACAGAGCCCCAGTCATGGCCTAGGACCCCATTATACTAGGCACTGTACAAACACAGAACAAAAAAGATGATCCCTACTCCAAAGAGTTTACAGTCTACCGTGTTTATCCCAACACCAGCCTCCAAGCATTACTGGGACATGCCGACCACACCTCCAATTCACCTGGTCACACCTACTTTGGGTGAGTGCCTCTGGCTGTGCCTCAAACCACTTGTGTTCAGAGACTACAAGCTACAAGACTACGAAGACAGAAGACATTCGATCTGTGTCCTGCACAGGAATAGTGAGGGGGGAGAGATGGGACTCTTCACGCTCTCTTCTTTCCCGAAAACCTGCACAGGGTCAGGCAGAATGTAGCCAGATGTGTTCCTATGACTATAACACATCCGGATCTTCTGACTATTCATTGTATGGATACAGTACATCTTTGCAACATACAATGGTTAACATTATGTTTCATGGTATAGCTAGATGCATAAGCTTCTTTAAAGAAAGCAAAGGCATTCAAGAACAATTCTGCACTAAACCAGAGTGTTGGACTGTGTCCTTTTTTGCTCAGAACCATGCTCTGAGGTCAATATGAAAGCTGACTAGTAACACAAGTAGTAAAAACAACAAGGAGTCTGTGTGGCACCTGTCAACATAGGCAATCCAACTCCCCGAGAGGTGCCAGCTAGGTTGACAAAATAATTCTTCCATTGACCTAGCACTGCCTACACCAGGGGTTAGGTTGGCTTAACTAGGTTGTTCAGGAGTGTAGATTTTTCAGACCAGACGGAGCTGCGTCAACCTAATTTTTTAGTGTAGGCCAGGCCTCAGACCTGATGTGGGGACAGCGTTCCCAAGACAGACAACACAGAGGCGGCAACGGCGCTGAGGTTCCCCACTACTCGGTGAAATCACTGGAACTGAAATCCCTAGAACTGGGCTAGCTGGGTTGGTGGACCCTCAGAACACGGCACTGCTGCTAGAGTCAGAGTGGTAAGAGATGCAGCAGCAGCAAAAGTGCCCCCTCCCCAGCAAATTCTAGAACTGGGATGGCTAATAGTGAGACAAAGAGGTCATGGCACTGAAGGACCAGAAGGCCCGGACCAGACCAAGAATGCAGCAACTACAGCAGTGAGCAGGATCAGAGGCAGCTGCAAGCACAGGCAGCGGAGATAACATTGAGAAGCGGCAGGGGTGGTAGCAGCATAGCAGAGGCATCACTCACCCACACCTACCCCAAGCTGGAGGTAAACCCACTTGAATGCAGCCCTTGGACTCTGTCCTAACCTCGGACAATCAACAGTGCGTGGGATGCAGCGGAGGGAAAGGGGAATGGCATGTTAAAGGGACATTCATCCATTGGACTTTCACAACACAAGGTGGAAAACTGAGGCAAAGGCCTACTGCCCAAGATACAATGGGGCAGGTGTTTTACCTACTGTCTGCATGCTTCTGAGTCATTATTGCTGTGTTTTCCCAAATTAATTCTGAGTTCCCACTCCAATTAATAAAAGTTCTATTTTGTTATACATACACTTGGTGCTTATGAGTGGGGAAGTATTGCCCATGATATCCAGTATGGGTTCCCATCTGGGGTGGTAGGTGACAACTAAGGGTATCATCAAACACTACAACCCATACTGGATAGGGTCCCCATCCTGAAAGAAATCTTTCCTGATGTCTGGTCTTCAAACAACCCTCGCATCTCTCCAAGCTCACCATCAGAAGCAAGCTCCCCGCAGACCAGGACACACCAACTCAAAGCAGCATCAGACCTTGCCAAAACAGATGCAAAACCTGCAGACATATCTACACTGATCAATGCCTCCCGATAAACATTTTCAAGATTCATGGGTCGTACACATGCCTATCACAACATGTGGTGTACCTTCTCCAATGCACTAAATGCCCCAATAGCAACTATATGGGTGAAATCAGATAATCACTGTGCTCTTGAATGAACACATACAGGGAAATGATAAAAGGACAAAAACACCATGTCACCTGTGGGTGAACACTTTTCACAAAGTGATCACTCTATATCAGACTTCTCAGTCCTCAAAGGAAACCTGCACAACACTTTCAAAAGACGATCCTAGGAACTTAAAATCATAACTTTGTTAGTCACTAATAATAATGGACTGAAGAGAGACACTGGCTTTATGGCGTGTTACTATAATCTATAAGGCACTACCAACCCCACACCCCCAGCTGCTTCCCCCCCACCACCCTTCCTTTCCTCTCTGTGTCAGGAGGCTATTAAGGGGCCACTTCACCTTGAATGGTCCCTTGAAGTGTGTGTTAACTACTTAGGTTTAACATTCTGTTCCACCTTGTATTTAGCTGTGACACGCTGAGTTAGGGCAGGTCTACACTCAAAATGCTGCACCAATGCAGCTGAGGGCACTTTTACATGAACAGGAGAGCTTCTTCCGTCGGCTTAGTTAATCCATCTCCCTGAGAGATGGTAGCTCTGTTGATGGGAGAAACTCTCCCATTGACATAGCACTGTCTACACGGGTGGTTAGGTCAGAATATCTAAATTGCTCAGGGGTGTGGATTTTTCACATCACTGAGTGACATAGTTTTACATATTTAGGTCTGTAGTGTAGACCTGACCTTAGTTTCCTAGACTGAAGAAGAGTTCTGTGTAAGTGCAAAAGCTTGTCTCTCTAATAAAATATAATACCTCACCCAACTTCTCTCTCTAATATCCTGGGACCAACATGGTAACAACAACAACAGGATGTCTTATGTCATCCATGACCTTCCTACTGGTAACGGATTGGGTAAGGAGAAAGACTACAGAACCACCAAGGAGTATACAATGGATTTCCACAAAGAAACTACAAGACCTCGACTTTGCAGATGACATCAACCGGCTGTCCTATACCCACAGAGATATGCAAGCTAAAACAAATGATCTCCAGATCTATGCAGTTAGTAGAGTTGAAAATCAAAACAGAGACATTCAAAACGTCGAGAACAAGAAACACCAGTAACACTTCCTGGGATTGACAGTAAAAAAAAAAAGGGGGGGGTCTGACACCTCACATATTTTGGCAGCATCATAAGCAAAACAGATGGAACGCATGAAGACATTAAAGCCAGAATAGCGAAAGCCAGACATGCCTTCTGTGACACACTGTACCTCAAAACACCCCGTACCTCCAGATCCACCACTGTTATAGGATTATGATAAATATGCCTTGTGAGGTATCACTGGAAAAGTTATAATCTGTTGAGCATCACTACCCTGCTAAAATGTGTATATCATTGTATATAAAGTTATTAAATGTTTCTATATGTTTGTTACTGAAACATGTTGTGAGTCTGGGAAATATCCACAGACTAGCTCTTCAGTAACAAAGAAATGACCAACACCCACCCAGATGTTAAGTGACATCACCAGCCATTCACCAGCAGTGGGAGTTCTAAACAAGAAATTTACAATTCATCTGAAGGACAGTTGCTCAAGCATGTACACTTTGAGGCTGCCTAATCCCATGACACAGCAAGGATCTTTCCATCACCTGGAGGAGAGTATAAAATAAGGGACAGCAACACCACGACCTTACCTCTTCTCCCCCACCTACCCTGAAGGCAACAAGATCTGGAAGATAAAGAAATATTTGAACTGGGGGAAAGTGGTCCTAACTGGAAAAGTTTTCCAGTTAGCACAGCCTGCTGTAGGTTTTGTGGTAAGAGAAACCTTATTACTTCAAACTGGACTCAGCTTAATAAAGTTGAGGAATTAGACTGATTTTATCTTTTATTCCTTTTTGTAACCAATTCTGAACTCCTATGCCT